TGTAACTGAAGATTGTTATCAATGGTTGTCCCTTTTGTACAGTTTGCAGTTTTTCTATGTTACAAGAGTTGGCACCCAGCAACCTTACTCCTTCTCACAAGATCTCTTGCAATACAGTGCTGCAAGGTCTTGGGTATGAGTCAGAGTGTAAGAGTTGGCTTTCATTTGGAACAAGTACATGACAAATTTTGCAAAGGACTTGAGCATAAAATAAGTCACTTGGAGGCTGAGACATGTAAAAAGAAATTGAAATAGCACAAATCAGGAAATAGAGAAGAACGTGTATGTTGGGCTCAAAAATAATGTGGCATATTTAGATAGAGAGAAGGAAGAATGCTGAATTTTCCAGTCTTAACTCCTGGCTGGCTTGTTTAGTCTTATCACTGAAAAGTGATAACTAGCAAACAATTAGTAAGGTAAATGTGGGCAGCTTGAATTATACCAGTTTACACTGATTTCAAAATAAACCCTTTCCTCTCTGTGGAAATGCAGAAATGAGGGAACTTGTGTTTCAGAGGCTTAAGTTCAAATTTGAAAGTGTTATGGTGAGATACTCAAATCTAATAGTTGTACTTCTGTAGTTATGTTGTACTATAATGCTAATATAATACTTAATATCAATATTTAATATTATTAATATATAATACATAATTAATACATAATACTTAATATTAATGCTTAATATTAATATTTGACTTAAGTGTCCTGAAGAGAGGTGACTTTTTTGCACAAACAATAGACAAGTTTCAAAAAAATAAAATCCTGCATGAAAAAGCAGGTTATATTCAACTACTGGTGTGGTGGAACTTTTAATATCTAATGCTGAAAAAGATTGTGTAATAAGGAGGTAGTAAAGCACTGGTCCTCACTTCATGTTAGACATGTTGTCTCTCTGCCCCTTTCACCTAAAATTTTATAGAATTGTTTCTCAAGCTCATGCAGCTGTTCACACAAATTTTCATAGATGCCAGAGGATGAAAGCTGGTCTTAGTAGTGGAGTTGTGGCCATACTCTAGTTTTTTGGTTTTGAAGCTTGCATCTTGGTTAGATAGTCTGCCATGCTACATTTTGATCCTGGCTTTGTTTTAAGAAAACATGATTTGGTTCAATACATAAGTCTTTGTTTTTTTTCTTTAGGAAGAAAGCTTTCTGTTACATTAAACTATCAAAAATGCAGAAAATACAGGCAAAGATACTAAACCATAGAGTGAAATACTTAATAGTAGCAGATAAAATGCACTTATTTAGGCATGGACCTGGTGGAAATGTGTTAATGTGCTAATTTATGTTTTAAAAGTGCAGCATGTCTTTAGCTAAACAGGAAATCTCAAAGAAAAATGGAAGTATTGAAAAAATCATGTGGAGGGATCCAGTTCTTTATAGTCTTCTCTGCTTTTCCAGGACTTGTGGCATAACTCTTCAAGAGGCCTTTGTAGAGGACCTGCACCAAGAGCTTTTTCCCCCCTTCTCCATGCCTGAAGGAGAGAATTGAATCCTTTGCTTTCTGAAACATATTTATTATCTGTGTGTTTTGTCTAGGAAAACTCCTGTTCAGGCTACAATTAGTTAACTCCCGTAGTTGGTAGGAAATGACAGATGCAGAGAACAGGTGTCTCTCCTTTTCTTGAGCTCAGTGTCAGTGTCACCAGAGTCTCTGGTTGGTGGGCAGAAGTTGCTCTGCCTAGCAGCAGATTTCTGTGACTGGGAGCATAGGGTGTGTGTGATTCTTTCTTGCCATAGTGGCATCACTATTCATTTAGGATTTTAGTGCATGGTTTTTACTACTGCGAGAGTCTCAACTCATGAAGAAATAGATGGTACTACTAATAAACTCTTCTGATGTGCAGCATTGGCTAGATCCAGGGGGAAAAAACCAAAATCCAGCAAACCCTAGGCTTCAGTGTTTGCAAGTTTTAACGAGTAGCAGCTCTTAGCTACCCATGGTGAAGCAGCCAAGGATTGTTTTTCATGTCCCAGTACAGAGCTCTCCTGAGATTGCCTTTTTTTGTCTGCCAACCAGCCATTAGTTGATGTTCAGTTTAGCATACATAATCTGGATGGAGAAGCTCATTTTAACTTGCCTGTGGTAATTTTACATACCTCTAGTGGAGAAGGTGCCTGAACTTATATCCATGGTTTTACCTCCAGTTAAAGTATTTGTGCAAGGAGTAGCTACTTGAGCTAAGCCTATTGCTACTGTGGAAGAAGAATTAGAACCTTTTACAAGCAGAGACTGATGCTACCTTCTGTAAAAAGTAACATAATTTGCTTTACAGGCAGCATTCAATAAGCAAATTTACATAACTGCTGTAACTGAAGATTGTTATCAATGGTTGTCCCTTTTGTACAGTTTGCAGTTTTTCTATGTTACAAGAGTTGGCACCCAGCAACCTTACTCCTTCTCACAAGATCTCTTGCAATACAGTGCTGCAAGGTCTTGGGTATGAGTCAGAGTGTAAGAGTTGGCTTTCATTTGGAACAAGTACATGACAAATTTTGCAAAGGACTTGAGCATAAAATAAGTCACTTGGAGGCTGAGACATGTAAAAAGAAATTGAAATAGCACAAATCAGGAAATAGAGAAGAACGTGTATGTTGGGCTCAAAAATAATGTGGCATATTTAGATAGAGAGAAGGAAGAATGCTGAATTTTCCAGTCTTAACTCCTGGCTGGCTTGTTTAGTCTTATCACTGAAAAGTGATAACTAGCAAACAATTAGTAAGGTAAATGTGGGCAGCTTGAATTATACCAGTTTACACTGATTTCAAAATAAACCCTTTCCTCTCTGTGGAAATGCAGAAATGAGGGAACTTGTGTTTCAGAGGCTTAAGTTCAAATTTGAAAGTGTTATGGTGAGATACTCAAATCTAATAGTTGTACTTCTGTAGTTATGTTGTACTATAATGCTAATATAATACTTAATAGCAATACTTAATATTATTAATATATAATACATAATTAATACATAATACTTAATATTAATGCTTAATATTAATATTTGACTTAAGTGTCCTGAAGAGAGGTGACTTTTTTTCACAAACAATAGACAAGTTTCAAAAAAATAAAATCCTGCATGAAAAAGCAGGTTATATTCAACTACTGGTGTGGTGGAACTTTTAATATCTAATGCTGAAAAAGATTGTGTAATAAGGAGGTAGTAAAGCACTGGTCCTCACTTCATGTTAGACATGTTGTCTCTCTGCCCCTTTCACCTAAAATTTTATAGAATTGTTTCTCAAGCTCATGCAGCTGTTCACACAAATTTTCATAGATGCCAGAGGATGAAAGCTGGTCTTAGTAGTGGAGTTGTGGCCATACTCTAGTTTTTTGGTTTTGAAGCTTGCATCTTGGTTAGATAGTCTGCCATGCTACATTTTGATCCTGGCTTTGTTTTAAGAAAGCATGATTTGGTTCAATACATAAGTCTTTGTCCTGCAACTTGGAGAGTGAATGGTTGACCTCATCTGTTGACTGAACCCCTGCTGAGTAGCTTCTAAGAAAAGCCCTTCCAATATATTTCTTGGTATTTTAGCATTGAGTAATTTATGTGGATAAATCTGACTCTGAATTACCAATGGCCAAACCAAGTTGGTACTGCTGGTGTCTACCTCAGGACCTTGGTCCTTCCTGTTGGTACTGCTGGTGTCTACCTCAGGACCTTCCAGTGAGCTGAGCACTTTCTCTTCCCTCCTGTGTGGACTTAAACCCTTTTGTGTAGGTGTTGAATTGATTCTTCTTGTGTTGTTGTAACTGTGCTTTAAATAGTTAAGAACTTAACTGGCAGTGACTGCAAGCTTATAGGCATGTCAGTTTGGACTTAATAGTAGCCCTTTCTCCAGAAAGGTATGAAGTTTTCACATGAAATTCTTCTGATTTTACCTGAGGGCACAATAAGGACCTCTGAACTTGATACAGTTATGTGGTTTACAAAGAGAATATGTAGACAAACTGTACTGTGGAATGTAATGAGGGCTGGATAATGTCTGACAGGATTTAAAATAAGTGCAGTAGTAACTGTAAAACAAAACAAATCCCTAATTTAATCTGGAAATTACTGACTAGTTAAAGGAACAATCCCATATCCTAAATACCCAAGATCCATCAGAACTTCATGTACTGTTGGAAATGTTGGATCAATAATTTCTATTTGGCATCAATATAACATTTTAATTAGTTTTTGACCTGAAGCTATTGGTTAAGAGATGTTCCCTCCTCCTCCTCCCCACCCTCCAAGTTGAATTTCAGGTAGAACTCATTTGAGGTGTACGTGTCCAAGTCTCATGCTTTTTCCTGGAGCAGTCTGAAAACAAACTCAGTCTACATCTAAGTCTGACTTCTGCATAGCTATTTCCAGATAAGCCTTTTGTCTGGTAGTAACTATATGAAGTAGGATATAAACTTAGAATCCTGTATTGGATAAACTGTGAAGCAAAAGAAAAAAAAAAGCTTGTTTTCTATGCTATCTTCTTAGTAATTCAGACTATTAGTAAATCATCTTCAAAATGCACTGGGCAGAACTCTCAGAAGTTTTCAGATTCTGAAAAAGAAGTAGAATTATTTGAAGGGAAGTAGGATGCTAGTTTCAAGTCAAAGCATTGTGTGAATTTGTTCTTCTGTTAAGGTTTTTTAGAGTTAAAGACAGACTTTAGTTTGATCTGGCTCTTCAGGTTTTTTATAAAGCAGCATGGCTTTTTTATTAGTAGAAAATTTGTTTTCTGACTTGCACACACAAACACCTGTTGGTATCCAGTTTAGGAGACCATGTCCCTTGGTTTTGAGTGCCATTGGCCCTTCTGCACATGATGTACATGATAGTTGGAGAGCCAAAAGATGGGTCCTGGCTCTGGTGTGTGTGGTAGGAATTGAGAATACTTACCCAGTCTGTTAGTACATCAGTGGGTGTCAAATCACTGAAATTCATGTTTGTTTGGGTTTTTTTTGTCAGCAAATATATATCATAGACACCTAAAGTCACTCTTAAATTCTTTTTCCTACACAGAGCTCAACAAAAATCCAGTGGAAGGCTTTTCGGCGGGCTTAATAGATGACAATGATCTTTATCGATGGGAAGTCCTTATTATTGGTCCTCCAGATACACTATAGTAAGTACTGATACAGAAACTTAAGTGAACTTGGATTTACTAGTTCTAGTTGGGTCTAAGTGAGTAGAAGTTAACCTAAATCTTGCTATTAAGTTAGGTAATGCTGGTCTGTTGCTAATAAAATACCTGTGAAGAGCTGAATTTGCTATATAGGAGCTCTAAACTGCTTTGCTCCCCTGGGAAAATGCAACATTGATCCCTTTGTACTTGTGTGGAAATGAGAGAGAATGGGCTACACTTAAAGGCAGCTTCTGTTTTCTTACATGCTTAAGGCAGGTATAATCCACTCTTTGCTGTTACTGCTGTGAGGCTAGGCTATCAGTTTAGCTGATAGTGCAATTTTAAACCATTACAACTTCACACTGGTGATTATAGGAAAAACTTCAAGAGGCTTATGTTTGGGGAAAACTGCAGCAGACTGTAGAATTGGCCTCAAGTCTGTCAGTTTGAGACAGGAGGACTTAGTAGTGTGACATGGAAACAGGTTCTATGCCCAGAAGTTTAAAGTGTATCCCTTGAAGATGAACTCTGTTCTCCTTCATTAAGCTGTTCCAGTGGTAAATTACTGACACAAAAAGCCTAGTGACATTTACTTCAGGTCAATTTTAGTTCCAACATGAAGTTGTTGTACACTTCTGTCTGCAGACTTCTGAACAAGTACTTAAGCACAGTAATCAAATTGCTTTTTTTTCTCCTCAAGCTCACTACATTGTGATTCTCAAGTCTTGCATGAGATGAATTCTCCAGCTTCTGTTGACCTCTTTTTAAACAGTCTTGTAGTGGCTCCATTATATTCTCATGGCTGTTTTATAAATATTGTCAATAAAGAAATACTGCTTCTAATTGAACCTGTTGTGTCAAAACATAAAAACCTGTTATGAACCTTACATGTTAAAAATTGCAATAGCGTTTTTTTCACCACTGTTGAGCTTGTTTTGAGGCTTTTTAGATAAGAAGCTCTCTTCTGTAGCAGTCCTTAGTTGCTGCTTTTCAAGGTAGCATTATATTGAAACCTTCCTCCCTGGTCTATTTTATGATGACAGTAGAACAGGAGAGTTTAACTTCACAGTTTTCCAACTTCAGTCTGGTTCCTGGTCCCACTTTTATGCTGAGTTTACCTAAAAAGATTTTTGACTCAGTGCATGACTCTACTGACAAAGACCCCTTTATCAGGAATATTGTTAAAAATGACACTGATCTCCCTTAGTTGATGGCTGTACTTCATTAACTGGTTTCTAATGTGTGTCCAGTTAAAGAGTTCTATTTAGTTGATGAGGGGCAACAGCTGTGACACACAGACTGGTAACTTTAGGATCTGCTGCTTTAAGAAAGGAAAGAAGAACTTTTTCACTTTGAAAGTAAGTGGATAACTAGTTTGGGGCTATCAACAAATGTAATCTAACTCTTGACTAGTCTGGTTGTTAAAATAGCTACCGTTTCTGGAATTCTTAACCTTCCTGGGATCAAGGATTCTTTGGAAACTGCCTGCGTTTTCAAAACTTTGTGGAAAATTTATGCTGTGGGTTCAGATCCCCTTCAGCTGCTTTATTTTAAGAGCCAAGTCACATAGATCTAGTGCTTTTTGGGTTTTTGGGTTTGTTGGTGTTTTGTTTTTTTTTAATCCTTGCTAGAATTGCACATCTTTGGTTAGTGGTGGTAAAGCTTGTTGTTTTCTCAGTAGCCTGTGGGCTTTGGGTACTGGCTCCTATTCCTTTACAAATACAGGAGAAAAAAAATGCAGTGAATAGCTTTTGTCTTTTCTACACCAATTCTTTTGTCTGTGTTCCTGTTGTACTGCACATCTCATACCACTGTCTGGGGAGGTTATGCTCCAGTTTTTGTAAGCTCTGCCTTTGCAGTTTCAATTTTGTTACAAACTGCAACTACAAGAAATGACAGTAACAGGGCAAATGCTGCAGTACTTACATTAGCAAAGTATTCCCTCTGTAAGGCCTTCCATTTCATATAGGCCTTCACATTTTTCCAAAAGGGGCTATTCCTGGGTATTGAAACTGAGTTATTTAAAAAAACAACCACGACCAAGCTGTTAACTTAGTTAAGTATGGGCCTGTAACTCCACATAAAAATTGGGTGTCTTTTTATTGTTGTTTTCCAGTTTAGTGGGTAACTGTCATGCAGAACACCTCACTGTTATGTCTGAGTCCCTTTAGCTTGCTGTTGAAAAGGTCATAATTGGAAGCCTTTTCACAAAGTAATGCTGTAAACCCAAATATAAAGCTTTCTGGAACTTTGCACTGAGGTTTCCTGCCACAGACTGATACCAAGAAATAAGGACTGAGGTGTCTGAAAGAGGAAAATTAACAGGCATCTGCTGGGTTGTACATGAGAAGTGGAGGTACTGGGCAATATCTTTTTTTTTTTTCTCTTAATAACTGTACTGGGAGGAAAAAAGTTAAGTTGTAATTCCAGATGGTGAATTCCTTGGCAGTTTTTTCATTATTTCTTTTTGTGTGTGTTTTTTCCTCTCTGGAACATCTTCCTAATTCTAAAAAAGATACAGTGGTAGGGAACTGGCAGTACCTTGTGAAAGGATCTTCTCAATCTAGGAATTCTTAGCATTGCATATGGAAATGATGGTGCTGTTAATTACTAACATGATGTTAAGCTGTGTGAGGGGTAGACTTAAAGCTTTTGATACATCAGTAAGTTCCAATCTTTAGCTTAAGCTTATAAGAAACTCTACTAAGATATTTTTGGTTCCCCAGTGAAGGTGGTGTTTTCAAGGCTCATCTTACTTTTCCAAAAGACTATCCACTGAGGCCGCCAAAAATGAAATTCATCACAGAAATCTGGCATCCAAATGGTAAGAAATGTCTACATTTTAGTTTCTTTTTGCAATTCAGAATTAAAATGCAGTGAAGACAAATGGTTACGTATTTGTTTGTGTTAGAAATAGGAAATTCTGTATTTACTTTGCCATCTTCACTACCCAATGAAGTAATAATTGTGACAGGGTTTTTAATGGTGCTTCTCTCAGAGACTGCTCCTGAAAGTATTTTTCAGAAGCTACTGAAAGCAGCTTCTTGAATTCTTGGTATGTTAAGGTTTTGGGTTTTTTCCTTAAGTGCAGAATTCTGGTCTGAGGAGAAACCTGACTTCTGTAGCTGCCTTTTGTTATGCCTTCAAATATTTAGTGTTAGTAACTTTGGCAGTTCAATACAGAAGGCCCAAGGTTGTCCTCCTTCAGTGAAGCATGAAAGGAAATAATGGTATCTTTTAGTCCCTCCAAAAAAGCCTCCTCCTAATGTTTCATTTATTTATGGACTGCTGGACATAGATGGGAAGGTAAAATAAAATGGAAGAAGGTTTTTACTGTGAGGAAGAGGGGATGCTCTTCAGTTTCTAAAGTCATTGTTGAAGTTGCAGATGTTGAAAGCTGGGAGGAGACCAGCACAATGCTCCCATCATATGGGACAGAGACTGTTTTGATGCTGTCAGTTTGAGCTCTGAAAATACCAGAGTACTTGTCAGGCAGTTTATAATTCTAGCCAATTAAATCATATTCCAATATATTGCAATAATATCTAGCTAATGATGTTGCTGTGGAAAAAAAAGTCTCTGTCTAGTTTGCTGAGTTTAACAGAAAAACCTTCAGTGGGAGTCTGTCTAAATAGTCTTGGAAGTTCACTGTGATAAGTTCTTTCTCCCCATGTGCTCTCTCCACCAGAGGTCCAGGCATAAGAAGAGACTTTCACCAAGTCCTATTTATTACAGATAGAGTTCAGTAATAGTTAATTACTTCCCTATTTTGTGAAGTGTCTTCAACACACTTCCAGACTTGTTAAAGTGAAGGTTAACAGTTCCACAACTACCCCAAAGAAATGCCAGCCTATTGTTCATCACTGAAATATGCCTTGTTCTATTTTGTAGTTGACAAGAATGGTGATGTCTGCATTTCAATTCTTCATGAGCCTGGAGAAGATAAATATGGCTATGAAAAACCTGAGGAACGTTGGCTTCCCATTCACACAGTGGAAACTATAATGATTAGTGTTATTTCTATGCTGGCAGATCCCAATGGTGATTCTCCTGCTAATGTTGATGCAGCGGTGAGTTTTCTTGGTCTACCAGTTGTCTTCAGTGTAGAAACCAAAACAGGAATGGAGTTTTACTTCTAGTTTAACAAGCAGATAGAAGGGAAAACTAAGAAGCTGAAGCTAGAAGGGCACCAATTCAATGTTTTTCTTGGCCTTAAGCCACCTTGCATAAGCTCTGATGTTCCAGTCCAAGGATCCAAATGCTTGCTGTATTAATTGCTGAAAAAGAACAATTAATTAGTAGCTTTATTTGTGCTTTCGCTGGAAAGATAAAACCTGCTGCACTTTCAAACATGCTGACAGGCTGTGTGAGCTTTGGAGGTGCTGAATGTTAGGTTGTATCAGTTACCTTCATTTTCTCTCACTCAAATTGCTTCAACCTTCACTCCAAGTGAAAAGGTGTTGTGAGCTAAGGTGCTTCAGGTAAAACAATGTTAGCTTGTTTTTTTAACTTCTTCCCCAACCCCTGCAGGAAGAATATTTTGCTTATATGGAAAATGAAGAACTGTAGAACTTCTGTCCTTCAGTAAGGGTTTTCTTCATATTTTCCCAGCACTTCTTTGCCAGTCCCCAGCATGAAACCTTAGTCACAGTGTATGATGCTCCTGTGCTTTCATCTGAGCTTGTCAGGAAGTTGGCACAAAAGCCTTAAAACTGGCTGTACTTTATCCTGTGGGTTTTGGTGATACCATGGTGTGCAGCAGCTCATGGTTCACACTTATCTTCCTGTTCATCTTTACCTTTGTTCTTTGTCTGTGCAATTGTGAAATGAGGTACCTGTCACAGAGATCATCTCCATAGGTGTGCTGAGCACTCTGTTCAGGTTTTCCTCATGGAGCTGGTATCTTGCAGCTCTATCTAACTAGGAGGTGTTTCCTTTCTAAGGACACTTCTGTGCCTCCTCTGAATACTGTGACTTCTGTATTTCTGTCCTGGAGTGCCATGGCTACGTTGAAAGGGAGTTGAAACTGTCCTAAAAATCACAGAATAACTACTGGTTCCACAGTAGCTGGGTACATTTTTACATCACTGCAGTTAAAGATATTTTCTCTAGCTTATAACAATAGCTTGTGGCCTGCAGTTTGAGTTTGCTGCTACTTAGCAGCCTGAAGTAAATAGATTTTAGCCTGAATACTGTGAAATGTTGGTAGCCACCATATTAGTTTTGGAGAATGTCTAAAATTCCAGGGGGGAAAGGCTGTGTCGTCACTGTCTTGTTATCAACTGCATAGAAACCTAGAGCAAGTTTGTGAAGTCCTGAATGTCAGAGGTTTTCAGTGATTAGGTGTTGACTTGATGGCTGATGTCTAAACACCAAGAGTCTGCCTAGAACTTGTACACTGTTACAGGACTGACATCTGAAAGCTGTTTGTTCAATTACAGAAAGAATGGAGAGAAGACAGAAATGGAGAATTTAAAAGAAAAGTTGCCCGCTGTGTAAGAAAAAGCCAAGAAACTGCTTTTGAGTGACACTTATTCAGCAGCTAGTAGCTTCACTTTTTTCAGGGTAAGTATCCTTCTGAAGACTAGTTGCTTACCTGAGTTGAGGGTTTCCTGCCTCAGTGTTACTGAACTACTTTTTCTTTCCACAAAAGCAGAAAATAAACCAAACCAGCCTTTCTTAGCTGCATGATCTCGGTGGAGTTCTTTGGCTGTATGTGATACTGAAGACTAAAAGAATTTTCAAATGCAATAACAGCCTCTTCTGCCAAGATTGTGGAACTTTTGAATTTCAAATTTGCTTTATCAGTATTCATCCTTCTTTATCAGTAGTGATGTGGGCTTACTAGAGCTGTATTAATAAATCTAAGGGGGTATTAAAGCTGTAATAGACAGGAATAATCATTATTTCATGTTGCTTATTGTGAGGAGCACTTGTTTGAATCTTAAAGCATCCTGCCTTTCTATCTCAAGTATATATATCTTTTCTTGCAGATTTGGTAGGAACCATTCAGAAATTGTTTCTGGTATCTGTGGGAATTTTAATGGAAAGTCTACTTGCATATCAGAAAGGATCAAGTGGAGATACTGCCCATAATAATATCAAGAAAGGTGGTGTTCTCTTCAGCAGCCCAAAAAAATGTCTTTACTGGGGAAGGCTTGGGAATAGCTTGGGAAAAACAGTTTTATTCTGCTTGGAAACTAAGCTGTAGCATGTCTGAGAGCTTGGACAAGTTTTGACCTGAGAGTAGCTGACGTGATATTTACACTTTATGCCACCCTGTTAAAAATGAGCTTCTGAGTCAAGGTACTCACTCTAATTTGAACAATCCCATCCTAGTTTTAATGGGAATGATGTTTTTTTCCACAGAATAAGCCCTTGTGGAAAGCTCTCTATTAAAACGTGGCCCTTAAATACTTGGCTTTTGGTCACTTTAATCTTGGTATGCCAAGGAAAAACGTCTTCAACATGCTAATAATTTCCCACTCTTGCTTTTCAAAGCAAAACAGAACTTCATGTTGAAGCTGCCCTTTCTTAATGGTTGGTTTGGCAAATAAACTACTCTGACCCGTTTAGCTGGAGAAGCCCAAAACCATATGTACTAGTTAGTTAGCTTCAGTGTAGGAAACTTGTGGGGAAAAAGAGTAGGGCACTTAAGTGCAGTTTAAAGGGGTTGTACTATCTGGACAACTAGAACAGCTTATGAAATGATCCTGCCAGTTTTTCCTCACCAAGGCTGTACAGGAGATACTTTTATGCTTTTGTCAAAATTGTGGGGGTTGAGGGTGGGGGAAGGCTCCATCTGTGACAAACTAGTACTGCAGTCTTTTCTCTGCAGAAATGCTTTGGTTGAACGGAACCTTCAGCATGAAAATACTTAATATTGATCAAAAGGCTAAGCATAGGAACTGAATGATTTATACAACTGCCTATAAGTAGAGTGCAGGAATTGTTAATGCAGCTGACAGGGTTTTTTCTGTCTCAGAGAAAGGGAGTAACTGTGAGTAACACTCCAGACTGTCCTTAACTAACCTCAGCTCTGTTGCCATGTTAAACTTGGCTGTAGTGAAACAATGCTCATGACAAATATTGAAGTAATTGGCTGTGTTGCTTTTTTGGAAGGCAAGAGCTTTTCTAAGTCCTGGTGACTCCTCCTAAGTAAGTGATGGGCAGTGAATGGGATGAGAAGGGGCCATAGAGCTGGTTTCAAACAAGCACAGGCTGACTTGGTAGCTGTTGTGTCACTGCTTACTGAAGCACTGCTGGGCCATTTCCTTCTGCACTTTGCTGTTGAAGCAGCAGCCATCCTTTACAGTGAGTTCCAGTGATATGTCTGCAAGTTTTAAAAGCCCAGTGTGTGAATAATCAAATATTTACACATTCCACACTTGACAAGCAACATGAGTGACAGGAGCCTGAAAGTCTGATAGTTGAGCTTGGATGCACAATATGCTCAACTAACTCAAGTCTTTGTCAGGTGATGATCTTCTGTATAGAGGTATGTAAAGTTCTTGAGCAAGTAATGATCTCTTTTGAGCTTGAAACACTATTTAACATCTTTAAGTGGATGCTGAGGGGTTTTATTTTAATAACTCTGATTTCCTTGTAGGTCTTCAATTGAGAAACATGGCACTGTTTTTTTCCTGCACTCTACCCACCTATTGCTGGACTTCTGTTGTAACAAGTTGGCAAACACTGGCTGGAACTGGGCTGCAATAAAACATGCCAGTTATCAATGCTGACAAGAGCCTAATAAGTGCCAACACAAGATGATTACACATTTTGAAATCTAATGAACTGCTTTAACCTTCAGGAAGAATTGTAAAGATGTGTACATAGCACAACATGATCCGGATAATATATATACTGTTCATGTACATCCACAAATAAACATCCTACCAAATAATCCTGTCTGTAGTTAGGAATGGAATTGTGTAAATTCTAAAGATTTTAGCAGGTTTTTCTCTCCCTATTTGTTGTTTCCTATCAGTTTTAAAAAAAACAACAAAACAAGCAACCAACAACTTTTGAAGCATGTCAAACTAAAACCAACTAGCATAAAGTTTTTTTTCCTTCCCCCCCATTTTAATTTTCCTTTGACCCACTGAGGCTTAATTAAAATCTCTTGCTTATTAAAGTTTAGTATCTTTTTTGGTTTTTTGGAAATGTGGTCCCTTTTATTTCCCCTATGAGAACTTAAAATTTTCCTAATTAAACCCTGAAAGGATTTGCTATCAATTACTTGTGTCTTCTTTTATGATGACCTTTTTAGTCTCAAAGATGTTTTTGCTTTTTTTTTTTCTCCCTTCCCACCCCTTTTTTAAACCCAATTGCACATACTTCTTGAATTGGGTATAGCAATAAAACTGGCCATGGAGCACCCACAAGCAGCTTGTTGGATTTTTAACTTCCAAGGGACTTGAGCACTTTTGTTTGGAGGTTAAGTTGACTCAGTTAGTCTAAGATAGGAAAGAGCTGCTTTTTTTATGGGTGATTTTCTTTTTGCCTTTTTTCATTGCCTGTTTGTGGGGGTGGGGGGTGTGTGTGGGAGGCTTGTTTTTTTTCTCAAGGTTGAGTTCAAGCATGCACATCTGTAGGCTTTCAAATTACTAACTTCTGGGTTTGGTATCAAAAATAGTTTCCCTCCTTTTCCCTTCTCTCTCTCTGTGGCCCTTCATATTCTTTGCCTTCTACTTCAGAGTTCTCCTCACCTAATGTACAAAGAAAATGGCGATGTATATTTTCATGTAATTTGATTTTTGGAATTCTGTCACCTTCTGTAGTGAGTTCTTCCAAAATATAATTTTTTCCAATAATAATGTGTCAAACTGGCTGTTTTGAGTATCTAAGTAGGAAGGGTAACTGCAGTAAAGCACAACTTACCTGAACATCTTCAGCACCATAAAATCAGCAAACACTTGTTGAATTTGACAAACTGTGTTAAATCTTGAAATAATTAAAAAGCAAACAAAGCACACACCTTTCTTCCTATTGGAACCATCTTTGGCTCTCTAGTGAGCAAATACTGATCTTAATGTATCTGATAACAAGCGTTTTCCAAGCCTACCTGGAATATTTTTCTACCAAAGAAACTTCATAACAGAGCTCGTAACTACTTGACTGTTCTCTGCTCTGCCACAGGTTTATGCAGCTTTTAGCAGCACAGAGTAACCCACTAATAACTCAAGAGTTGCAGTGTTAAAGAAGCATCTTGTAAGAAGCTTTCAGTACCAATTTGGTGGCTGGTCATGCTTTGTTTCAGGTTGCTGTGCAACGTGTGTGCTGAAAGGCAGATATGACATGTATGGAGTGGTGGGCTGGGGTGGGAGGAGAGGGCAGTTAGTGGTGATACAGCCACATGGAACACACAAGCCCTTATAACTAAGGTGATTTACAAGTAAAAGTGTTGTTTCCTCCTACTGGTGTTTTAGCTAAACATAGATGTGTTTAAAGTCCACATTTACATATTTAGTAATTATTTTAATGAGTTGAAATAGCTTTTCACTGGCTAGCATGCTCATGTAGGCAGGCAGATGTGTGCAGGACTGCAGAGCTATTAGTGCCCAGACTGATTTTAGTTCCTCTTTTGAGTGCTTGCCTAAAACTGCTTGAGAGGAGGTTTCTTGCCCACCAGCTAGCTCCTCTTTTTCACTTACCTGGAGGTCAAGACTGCAGAATCTCAGTGGCATGATGCCTTTCTCTCCATAAACAAAACACTAGTAAGAAGCAACTCCTCCTACACCTAGCAGTGGACTTCTTCCCCCATCAATTGCCCTTCCTTTTCCATAGTGTATTTGAGGAGCTGGCAGCAATTCCAAGATAACTGGTGCTGCTTGCAAGTTCAGCAGTGTTCTCTGTTTTGTCTTCCTCAGTAACACATGCAGTTCACAACTGACTCATCTATAAAATTTAGTAGTTTAAAGCTTTGTTTTTCTTATTTGTTCTCCAGAAGAGCTGCTTGTTTGTTCTTCAAGGAGTAGGCCTGGAAATACTAGTCCTGTATCAGTGGTATGGAAGAACTGTTAACTCCACAGCAGTTCCCCTCTTTGTAAATTACTCAAAATATAAATCCACTTCAGTTTGACTTACCCAGTTGGTTTGTGATTCCCCATGACCCCCATGTTCCAAAGGAAGGAGTGTTATTGTGAGATACTGTCAAGATGTACAAGCTGCAGGTATGGCTAATGCCTAGTTAATGAAAGAGGCAACTAAGGGTCTGGTGCCAAATGCCCAGGTTGTAGAAAATTTCTGGCAGGCAAAGAAATGGCTCACGTAGCTTTTCTGTGAGCACAGTTGTTTTTTTGTTTGTTCTTGCCCTCCAAGTGAAAGGAATCTGGCTATGAGGGTTACTGATCCAACCAGAAATTTCTGTTTAGCCTCAAGATAAGAAAACCCCTGAAGAGATGCAGTACACACAAGTAGTACTAGAATACTTGTTGAGCAGTCAAATAAACCAGCATTCATACCCAGTTTCACTTGTACCAGGATCTTGTCCCTAGCTTGGTTTATATAGGTTGTCTGTGATGATTAATTATACTTTTCCTAGTTCTCTGGAGGCTTGTAGTTACAGCTGAGTTTTTCTGCTGGTTTTTCCCCCAACACAGAAGACAGAAGTCTTCTGCCCAAGTAACTGGGCATCACTGGGGGAAAAGGCAAAGAGAAGCATGGAGTTCTATAAATACCAAACTAGTATGACCAGCCAGGTTACTTTTCTCCCCATTTCTCTGTGCTGCCTCTTCTACATCTTTGGAAAAAAATCAGAAAGGCTGTTGAGCTCTCATGCTAAAATTCTTTCCTGGTTTGATGCATAGAAAATGATAATTGAAGCTAGACAATCAATAAACAGAGAACATTCATTCTGAAGTGTTTATAAGTGTATTTTGGTGGTTTTGGTAGGCTGATGGTGGTGGGGAGGGACTTTTTATTGTGTCTGTACCATCTGGTGCCCTGGTCTTTGTTCAGTGCTATCACAGTGCAAACAGAGGAGAACTGCAAGTCACAATTCCTGCCTGTCTTCAGAAGCAGCATCCAACTAAACCAGAAAGTACTTGGCTTTTAAAGACAGTCTGTAATAAGACAGCTTCCTGCCCAGGCAAATCCTCAACAGAAGATGAGATTGCAGATTCCCCAGATGCAAAACACAGCAGAAGTCTGAAATCTGATCTCTCTTGTTGCTCGGAAATTCAACTAAGATTAAACCTGATCAGGCAGTAATAACTGTTTCCTCACAGCTACTGAGCTGATCAATGGCACCCAGAAAGCTGTGGTGTGAGTTAAATGGTGGCAAAGTTGTACACATTGGTCACTGAGCTGTGAAAAACCTGAAGGATCAACTTCTCTATGTCTAGAACTACAGGTTCTGGTTTTGCTGTTGTACCCAACAGGCACAGAAAACTTCAGGTGTGAGGCAAAGCAGCTTTTCAAAGCTCATTCAATAGGGAAGTCTGGAAAAAATGACGTCTGTAAAACAATACTGTGCATAATGTGTTCAAATATTTGAAGTTAGCTCTTTAAAGCAAACAGAAATGCTGTTGGTAGGTGTATTTTGTTCAATCTGAGCACGAAAGATCATAAACAATGTGAACAGTCGAGGGTCAGCTGGGTTGTACACAGGGCTGGAGAAAATGGTCTTCTCACTCCCTCGGTCACTGGATGGAAAACCACAGTTCTTACCCACTGGGCACAGATCCAGTTGACTCTGAAACAAAAGCCACGTGTGTGGGAACCTAAGTAAGGCCGGTACAAGGAACAGCTGTGGCTAAAGATCCCGTCAGACTGACACCCTGTGCTGGCAGGGAGAGGCACCTGCTGCTTTGGGGCAGGGCTGGAGCCACAGCCTGTCCATGGAGCTCAAACCCCGGCTGCGTTTTCCCCTCCTGCTGGGCGTTTTTCTCCAGCATTTCCCAGCTCTGACCGTTTTGCTGCCAACACGAGGCACCGGCAGGGATCACCCGGCGGGGTGGGAAGGACAGGAGAAACCCCAGAGGGGTTAAAACCAGCGGCTGCCTCCGGGAGGAACAAGGGGTAATAGTCATAGGATACTCGTTAGTAAATTCCATAGAAATATAGCCTGATGAAAACGTACTGAAATAATGCATTTGCTGTACTAAGGGTTACTTTTAAAATGAAACTATCAGTCCATGATGCCAAGCACCCTGCAGGTTGTGATGGCATCAAGTCTTCTAAGAACCTGTGGTGCCTACAGACTGCACTCAGGTGGATTCTGACCCACCTGGGCAAAATACCAGCGGGAGACTGGAGACAGGACCAGAATGGGAGACAGGACTAAATAATGCATTTGCTGTACTAAGGGTTACTTTTAAAATGAAACTATCAGTCCATGATGCCAAGCACCCTGCAGGTTGTGATGGCATCAAGTCTTCTAAGAACCTGTGGTGCCTACAGACTGCACTCAGGTGGATTCTGACCCACCTGGGCAAAATACCAGCGGGAGACTGGAGACAGGACCAGAATGGGAGACAGGACTAGGAGGAGAGACAGGACCAGGACAGAGACAGGACCAGGACTGAGACAGGACCAGGAGGAGAGACAGGACCAGGACAGAGACAGGACCAGGACTGAGACAGGACCAGGACAGAGACAGGACCAGGACAGAGACAGGACCAGGAGGAGAGACAGGACCAGGACCACGCAAGGGCCCGGAGGAGATACAGGACCAGGACTGAGACAGGACCAGGACAGAGACAGGACCAGGA